ATTTTGATTTACAGGAGGCAGAAGTTTTTAGATTGAAAAGACAAGTCGAGGTTGTGAATATAGACACAATCAAGAAGGAACTACTTTTTGCTGATGCGAAATTGAAATTGTGCAGATACAATATGTCTTCGCCTGCCAGTATCACGAGTAAGATGTACATAATATATGTCACCTATCGCCATCCTTATAGATTAGATTTTCAATAATTTTTATTTTACTTGATAAAAACAAACAGGAATGTTTTCAGGTCCAGTTGAGTTGGTGGGTATGCTGAACATATCCGGATTATTCAAGACGGCACTTGAAGTATGTACAGCCTTCCAACTATCGTACTGCAGCGTATTTGAAACTCTTACCAAGCACTGCGTTAGTCTAACGTTGGCGAATGAAGAATATGACCAGCCTAATACCTGGGAGTGGCTGGTAGAAAACGATTTACAAGGTAACACCTTTAGATTTGCGAAAATTTTGTTCGAATTCGGCGTGTAATGTTTTTTACAGATTTGCCGGTGAACAGGGACAACATCGCCGACATAGTTTGGAAATTATTACAGGATTATCTGTCAAAGTACGAAAAACCGAATATGACAGAGCTACATCGTGCCGTTTGCTCCAAAATTATCCAGATGGGAGTATTTTTGCCATATTGGCTCATTGTCTCATACAAGGTAAAAAAACTATTTTTTCTTTTTCTCTAAATCAGCAGCTGCTCTAATGAATACTTTTTCAAGAAATAAATCGCAGAGTTGTCATCGATATGAACACTGCTCCTGAGGCTTTAAGACCATCGAGAGTGCCTCAAGGGTCTGTTCTTGGGCCACTTCTTTTTATTTTATGTATCTCCGATCTTGATAAGGTTTTTAAACACTGCAATATTCAGTTTTTTTGCAGATACAATTACAGTTATACAATTATTTTAATACTGACTATATAATAATTGCTGAGGCCCAAATTAATCAAGATTTGAGGTCTATCGGCAAGTACACAAAAAGTTCATAATGTTAGATTAAATCCAGAAAAATCAAAAGTAATTATATTCTAAAAAATTTAGGAATCAAATGAGGAAATATTCGACTATATCATTAAACGGTGAAATTTTAAAAGTATGTGGAACTGTACAAATATCTAGGCGTATATATTAATTAATGTCTGAGTTTTATTTCTCATGTGAACAATGTTACAAAAAGTAGTTTTTTAGTATTTTGGCAATTATAATTGAACAAACAAATTCTCGATTACGAAGCTAAAAACAATTCTCTGTGACTCATTAATTATTTAAAAAATTACATACTGCGACATTGTTTATCATCCGTTTTTGGATTTAGTATCTGTCAAGCGCTTTCAAAAAATTCAAAATGTTGCAGATTTGTAACAAAATATGACCACCTTACCTCCTCGTTCATAAAATTAGGATGGTTATCTATTGCTAATCTATGAAAATTTCATTTACTATGTTATATTAATATACTTTTTTACCTCCATTCCCCCATTTTTGAAAAATAAGTTGAAGTTTCGTGGTTCTGTGCACTCATGAGATATTCGCCTTATTGTTACAAGAACAGTGCCTCCTGGCAGAACTTCATTTTTTACTAAATGTTCAACTTACAATGCTACTATCATGTACAATTACCCTCTGATACAAGCTTTAAATTTCGAGAATTTCAAAAAGTATTAAAAAAATCATTTTCGAGCAATTTATCTCTCAATTCTGCTTATAATATGTAAGTATATATAATATTATGCTTTGTCTAATCTGCGTTTAACTGATTTTTATGTTGAAATTATGTTTGATTGTTTATATTGTGGATATACATTTTACGGGTTAAGTGGTAGAATAGCTTATGCTAAAATTCACCCAATAAAGACTTTTTACTATTATTCTTATTATTATCATATCTTTATCTCTTTACATATTTCCTTTTACCATCATTCTGTTTGGCAATTTTTCAACGCAAATTTCTACTCGCTGCTCAAAATTGTTGAAATATTTTCCAGAAACTAGTTTACGACTTTTTTTATTACCTGGAACGCAGAATATCAGACCCTGTGATTCAGTTCGTCGAGAATATGATCTTTATTAGGCCTTTGGACGGTAACACCGGAAAAACGCTACCAGAAATCCTAAATCAATATGTATTTTTATTATACTCCACTACTATACTATTCCACGTATCCAGTTTTAAAACAAACTTGAATCGTACGAGATGTTATTACCTATAAGCTCTTTGCATCTTAGTTTCTGGATTGATTTATGTGATATCCCCACTAAACAAGGGAAATTTGCCGGTAGGCAAGCCAGTCTTAATTTGTTCTCTGCCAGTATGTCTATATTGTGTCGAGTAGCTGAAGTCTGCTAGCCGGTATTTATGGTATTTAAGTTTGTCCCTATTTTTATTTTGTTAATGTGGTAATGTCGCGAGGGTAAAATGGACGATTTGTTTTATAATTTTTCCCTTAATGAGTAGTAGCTTCAGCCCTTTTGTGGACTATAATGTTAAAGTGTATCCTCTCTGATAAATGTAGTTATGATAGATGTATAATATGCTTTACTGACTGAGTAATACAATCATCCTTAATGATAAAACTAACTTAAAACTAAACAAAATTACATATTCGGATTTCAAGTAAATCAATTGCAGAACTCACGTTTCAAGATTTTTAAATGGTTTATTCTTTTGATATCATCAGGGAGGCACATGTAAATTTTCAGAGCATTATAAATGATTCAATCTTTCACAACTGCTGATTTAGGTACTACTAAATTAAGATCTCGCTTTCGTTAAATATAAGTTATATTTGATGTCTCAAATTTAGAGATTTATTTAAAAAAATAAGAGTTGCTGTCATTATTTAAGATTTAAAAATAAAGGCCTGCATGTTTAGTTGTATATCTACAATTTTAGGAACAGACACTCCAAAATGGAATGTTATATTTAAATCTACTCGCAAATAAGGCAAAGTAAGTGCTTAAGTCTGCACTTTTTCTTACGTCCTACGTTATAACTGATAGTTCTCATAATAAAGAAAATATTTACCAATTGAGTAAGCAGTTGCTCTATATGATTAGTAAAATTTAATTCATCAAAAATTTGATGGTGTCTGTTTTGAGCATCAAATCACGATTTAAATTTATAAAATCATGGGAGCATTTAAATATCATAAATTTGGTCTTACTATAGTTCAATGTGAAGTAATTTTTTTGAATGATTGTATATCACGTCGTCAGCAAAACCAAGATATTTACCATTTATGTACAGATTTATTAAATCGTTAATATAAACTAAAAATATGGTCGGACCTAGTACTGATCCTTGCGGTATCCCTGTAAGCCTATTTCATGATATTTGGTGCTACTTTCATTAAACATTTACAAAATCATACTCTTTCTGGAAGCATTTATTATATTTTTGATACCATATATAGTATTTAAAGTGTGTTGTACTTTTACTTCTCACTGTCCTTGATTAGAGATGGAAATAGTCGCCAGATACCTTCGAGATACTAAGTTTTTTCAGAATGTCTGTGTCAATATTTCAATTGTCCCCTTTCCGATTGTCTAAAAAATCAGAATAAACATAAAAATCCCCCCTATTAAGTCTTAGTAAAATCCCAAAATTTAATTTACCCATATGCTCAACTTATATTTCTCTATCAGTTGCGTAATCCATCGGAATTACTACGTCTTCTACATGCTTCTGGTCGCTTGGAAGAGGCCTCAGAACTAGCGCGTGAGCTCCTGTTGGCCGCGCTGGGCTACGGCAAAGAGTACTTCGGCTTCGAGAAGCCCCTCAGTCACTCTGCTACATCTTTCGCGTTGCCTGTACACGCCCTTAGGGCCCTTGTTCAGGAGCTACATATGCACAACGAAATGGCTGGACAGGAGAAGGATGAAGAGCCTCCGTTTATCAAGGTAGGTTGAATGATTAACGTATTATCACAGTAATAAAATGGTGTCTAGTTGGTTTACTTTCCAAACAATAGGGGGGTTCAGATTAAACAAAATATACCCAGTGACATTAGAAGTGTTACATCCAGGAAAAGAAGGTTTTATCGATTAAGGGGACTCCATAATATTATCAAACAATCGGAAAAATTGTTTGAATAAGAAAATATTTTCTGTATTCGCATATTGTATTGATATTTCTGTTTGTTTCAGGAGTACAACTTACTGAAAGAACTTCTAGGAAAGTACATGGAGACCGCCCTCAGAGCTACTCAACAATCGTCTGGGGACTGGAGCACGATGGGTCAGATGAAGACCACCCCACTTCAGATTTCTTGAGCTTAGAAAATATCTATTTTGTATTGTCGATTTTAATTTTTATAAATAAATCATCTTGAGAAAATATGTTTTATTTTATCGGTATTAATAACTAAATTTCTGCGATAAGTATAATGGATACATTCTTCATTTTTCAAAAAACATAAATTGGAGACAAAAAAAAATAAAAATAGGGGTATTGAAACCTAAAAAGGCATTTGCTGTATTTTAGTCTTATTACTAAAGCGAGATTCATCTATTCCATTTTTTCTTAATTTTAATCAAAGGCTAAAGAACATTGTTGGTACTATTTTTTTACCCGACTACCTCAGAAGGGTTGTTTTTTCGCGTGTGCGGACAAAAAATTCTCCTTCATGACTGGAAGTCAAAACGGCTTGATAGCTTATTGACATATGAGGTGTTTTTGAATGTCTTGGCAGTAAAATTAAAATTTTACAAAAACAAAACGGCGAATTTTAATAAAGAAACTGCGGCCTTGAAATTTGTAAATGCTTTTTTTTGTCATATCAGGATCCAAACAATATGAACATGTTTACTTAGTATCCAGTGTTTTGGTTCCATTTGTTTCATTGCATTATCATGCCTCGCAGACGCGCTAATTTCACTCAATCAAAAAACGCTAAGATTTCACAGGGCAGTGGTCGAGAATATCAAAAAATCTGTCTGATAACATTCTTGTTTTTTAAAACTTTTAATCTTTTACCATTTCTTTTATTATGCAACTTTTATATAGGTGATTTTTGGTATATCACTCCCTTTTGACCAGTCCTAGACGCAGTTGAAATAAATGACTCGACTTTGAAAACACCGTGGATAAGTACATTCTTTACACAAGTATGTCCACTGGAATAATGTTTGTTTATGGTTGTCAGAATCATATTTATTCCGTCACTTGAATTTACATAAGTATAGACACTCTAAAATGGCTTTCGGAATGCTTTTCCTGCATATCTCACTGAACACCTACTTCCTCTTCTATTCTCATGATTTGGTTATACTTAGCGCACCTGGAAAATCAAAATAAAATATTTACCAAAAAATTATTGAAAATTCTTCTAATAAGTAATGTTGAACAATTTTTTTAGTATTTATTTGATCACTTACTAGTAATTTGAATTTTTCTTTATTAATGGTAGAGTGCCCATTCCTAGGCCAAACCCTTTTCAATGATTTTCTTTTGGTAAATTTTATAGTTTTAGTATAGTATTTCACACGTATTATCTTTCTTTCTTAGTGATTTAGTATTGTATTGAAAAAAAATGTAGTTTTCCTCCGTTACTTGGTTTTCTATCGAACATATCTTCTTCAAGGCCACTCATTGAACCTTCCGTTATAAAGTTAAGTATTTCGTGTCAGTCACGTTCCTCCTGAGATTGTGGTGTGCGCGCCATTTGTTCAACCTCCAGATTCTGGGATAATAGGTGCTTTACGTTTAGTTTTTTTGGCCTGGGTGCTACCCCGTCCATTTTCTAATGGGATTTTAATCTTCAGCGTGGGAAGCATTGCGGATAACCACCATACACTCCTCAAGCTTTGCTTGTAGCTGTTTTGCAGCTGGTATTGCCGGAAGCCACCCATTCTCCTTAGCAAAAAAACTTATCTGGGTTGAGGTCTTCTCCTATTTACGGCTAGGCGCAGCCGAGATGTAGCTCGCAAGTGCTCAGGTCAAGAAGAAAAAAAAACGGAGACCAGTGACATTTCAAGAAATTCGAGAATTTTAGAAACTCCAGGAAGAGACGAGAGGCTAAACCCAGAGCATGCTGATGAGTAGCCAAAAAGCTCGAAACAGCTGCCTAAGATTCGCTGTCTTTGACTGGACGTACGAAAGCAACATTTTTTTACAATTATATTGTTGGGATACTGAATATTTAGAAAAACTTTTTAACATTGCTGGCGCTCCATCAGTAACAACACTACGTAAACTTTTGAGTAGAATACCCACGCTAAAAAACCTCTCCACTTTGTCTTGTCCTATTATGAAATGGCCCGCACCTGAGAGACAGTCGGCTAATATGTTTCTCTCTGTCGCGACGGCTGTGCGGTCGAGGTGGAGGGGGAACGGCACCGGGGCGCACCAGCACCAAGTGCTCGAGTTGGAGAGGCCTGGGCTAAGTCATAATAGCTCAAGAAGATGTCAATCTTGCATTGCTGCTGAAGGACGGCAGTTGAATACTTATCGAAAATTTAAATTGGACATTGTCGAATCAATAAAAGTGGCGTTACTATCTGTCTCTTTTTTTATATTTTTCTGATAACTATCATGACTTGGCCCGTTTCCAGCTTTACGTCGACTTCTGGCGCACCATGTATACCTTTCGGATCTGCAAGGAGCTCCAGTCTTGATTTGTCCGGTGCCCAAACCGACGACTAAATCAGCTATGAAGGTGTCTTCAGTTTCCCCGGACCTGTGTGACACCATGGTGCCCCAGCCATTCTCTTTCGCCAATTTGTGGGCTTCTATCGCCTGTGTTATAGTCCCTGAAAATGACAAAACGAATCTTTGACAAACCCCTACATTCCAAAGACTAATGATCTTTATTACATAAACTCAGATACTACAAATAACTTCTCAGTGAATATGAACTAAAAATATAACAGGCGTATCCTTCAATTCACCGGTTGAGCAACCGGTGCAACCAGTTAGCAAAGTTTGTGTATTCGTTCCGTAGCTGAACGTGTTGCCTAACCGTCATGATGTTTCAGCTACCAATGTTTGGCTATGATGTGATGTAACATCTGCTTCAGAGATGGCTTTATTGGAGGTCTAAGCTGTAAGTTGTATACTATAGCTGGAAGGAAACGGCAGCGTGGGAAAATCATTATGTACAACTTTGAACACAACCTCTCCTCATAAAGAATAATACAAATGACACGACTGACACAGCTAAAGATATATTTCATGGGCAGAATATTCAGTAATAATTTTCTAACATAGCAATTATATGATCTTGCTACTTAGCTACCCAACCACACATCTTCTCAGAATATACTCTACAGACTTTCTCGGCATTCTGCAACCATCAAAGCATGATGTACTATTTGCATACTAGGAACTACCTACACACGACTTTTTTTTTTGGTGGTATTATAGGTTTTTTTACGTAATACTCGTAGTCATGCCGACTCACTGAACTTACCAATTTGGTTGACCTTAAGCAATAAACAATTGCAAGCCTTCTCGTCGGCGGCTTTTTGGATACGCACAGGATTAGTGACAGTGAGGTCATCTCCAACTATTTGAATGTCCACACTTGCGGTCATCGCTGTCCAGGCTTTCCAGTCATCTTGATCAAAAGGGTCCTCGATACTCACGATCGGAAATTCCTTCAGGTACGTTTTGTATAGGTCCAGAAGTTTTTCTGGTTTCATCCAGTTTTTCTTGTCGGATTTTGGGTTCTTGAAGTCCAGATTGTACAAGCCTAAAAATAAGGAATTTAATACATATCCAAAGTGCTAGACGAGCAAAGCTGTGGATCGGATTGATCGCATAGGAAAGGGTCGTTGATATGTAGGAGAAACCCCACGTTGACATTCTGGGGCGAAGAGGAGAACCTGTCAGTTACGACGGATATTTTTCGGACAGAGAGGTAGTCAGCCATCCTCAACGCTTCTCTGGGAGGCTATATGATGAAAGTTTGCATAAAGGCAGCATGCCATAGCTGATCGAACTCGATATCAAAAGCAACGACATGGGCATCATGACTCTAAAGTCGCGTGACGTATGCTAGCAGGTCCCCGCAAGGTTTTTACGCAAAAGTCTATATATCAAAAAAATTGACAAACTATCGACTTGCTGACCAGGACATTTGAAGGTCAACTCGTTTTTTAATGGTATCCATTTTTGACAACATAAATGAAAAGAGCGGTAGATTTTACGTACAAATATTGTATCGATCGATTAAATTTTGACCTTGAGAAGTCTAGGTCAAAGTCAAACACAAGTACGGCGATATAACTTGAAATCCAGTAGTCGTTCGTATAGGTAAACTAACGAGACATTATTTTCATTATTTCCCCCCGGACATCCAATAGTGTCCTTGGATCTGACCTTGGCCATGACCTACAAGGTCATTTGAGGGTGAACCCTTTTTTAAAGGGACCCCATACTTTTGACCGCGGAAATAAGGAAAAGAGGAAATTTTATGTTCGAATATGTTCTTGGAACTTGACCTTGGACTTAACCACCAAGGTCAAACACAAGTTTACCTTCATTTCTTGGTAAATCAGAAAACTGTGTAATACCTAGATAAACTGCCTTCTGACTGTTCTTTCAGGACTGTTCCCTGGCTACAGACATCGACTTGACCTTCACATGACTTGGAGGTCATCATTGTTAACGTTAGATCCAAGGTCATCATTCGATATCCGGGAAAAGTAATGAAAATAATGTCTCGGTAGTTTCCCTATCCGAGTACTGGTTTTCAAGTTATGCCACCGCACCTGGGTTTGACCTTAATCATGACCTCCTGAGGTCAATATTTAAGAATGTTCAAGACTAAATTTGTTCGTAAAATACTCCGGTCTTTTCACTTACAGGATCCAAAATGGCGGTTCCATTTAAAAAAATGACTTGACCTTCAAATGATTTTGAAGGTTACGGTCAAGGTTAAGTTCAAGGTCACTGTTATTAGATTGCTGGAAAAAACTCCTATCAATCGCAGGGCCATTATTAGTTCAAAAATTACCGTGGGGTTCGGGAACTTTTGGATCTCGGGAAACTTGGGTATTGGGCCCGGTGATTCATAATTTCGTACCTTCCTTTCCCTTATAAAATTCTGATGCAGCGACGTCTATGCCTATGTCAATCCTGCCTGTGTATCCCGCTTTAGCGATAGCATCTCTTAGAAGAACCAGAGCATCTTTAGCGGTAGGGATGTTTGGAGCAAAACCTCCTTCATCGCCAACCGCAGTTGCGTCTAGCCCAAATCTGCAAGAAAACATACTTAGAAACGACTCATTTGTTGTCCATCCTACCGAAAGTTGAATGTATGATCTACTGCCAGCTTTTAGGTTAAAATAAAACGGAATATTTTTCAAACCGTGGATAAACAAACACGCGAGCGTGTTTGGTATGCGAAATTTGTAAGATCAAGGTTATCGCCAAAGTCATATTCGGACATAAAATTTCCTTTTCTATTCAATTCCGGTTTGAAAAAGGAGTTTCTATTTGAAAATAATATACTAAGTGACATATAAATCCGAACACCCAGTTTAAATGGTTTTATTTTAGTAAAACTTTGTATAAGTACTTAATGAAGCATAAAAAGTAAATGATAAAAATTTCAAAATGATTGCACCGCTTTAAAGCCCTTTGATCTTTAATAACGTGTGGATGCACCCTGATGTGCTACGCATTCTCCAACGCGCCTAGGAATGCTTCTGATCAGGTGGTCAATGTCCTCCTGTGGTATCTCATTCCAGGCAACCACCAACTCCTCTCGAAGTGCTTCTAGAGTCTGAGGAGGACGTTGCAAATTGAGCAATCTCCTACCCATCATAGCCCACACGTGCTCAATTGGGGATAAGTCGGGAGATCTTGGTGACCATGGTAACAATGTGACATCATTATGTTGAAAGAAGTCTATTGTGACTCTTGCAACATGTGGTCGGGCATTATCTTGTTGGAAAGTTGGATCTGCCAGGGTGTGAAGATAGGGTAAAAGATGGGGTTCTAGAACTTCGTGGATGTAACGCTGCGCGTTCATGTTACCTCTGATGAAGATTAAAGGTGACCTGGAACCATAAGCTATAGCACCCCAAAGCACAACTCCAACAGCGTGATGAACATGTCTTTCAACAGAAAACTGTGGATTCCTCCTTTCACCACGTCGCCTTCTTACCCTGGCACGACCATCGTGCATGCCTAAACAAAATCGAGACTCGTCACTAAAGACAATACTGTTCCATTCCTGATCCCAGAGTGACCGTTGTCTGCACCACTCAAGGCGATTACGTCGGTGTTCTCGAGTTAAAGGGAGGACCCAGTGTGGCCGGTATGAAAACAAGCCAAAACTTCTCATTCGTCGGTAAACACTTCGCATGCCAATAGGTCTTCCGTGTTCTGCAAACCATTCATTTGCAATGGACCTGGTAGTGGAGAAACGGTCCCTTAAGGCCAATAATCTTAGGCGGCGATCTTCACGGTCTGTTGTTCTACGGCGGCGTCCAGTGCCCCTTGCTCTTTGCGTACGGCCTTCTCGAAGCCATGCCTGACAACACCTAACCACAGTGTCTACACTTCTTTGCACTCTAACTGCAATTGCCCGAAAAGAAAGTCCAGCTTTCCGAAGTCCCACTATACGGCCCCTTTCAAACTCACTAAGTTGACGAAATCGTACAGGTCTCCGTACTCTAGGCATCGTAACCGATCGTAAAGGATGTCAAGAACCAAAATCCGCCAACGTTGATTCTTTACTGCGGCTGAAATATTCATTTTTAGAGCGTTAGTGTATTAAAAAAAAGCAGTATAAAAACCGGAATGTCCAACTGATAAGGCTGAAAATTTTGTCACTTGTTATTTACAGTAAGATAAATACATTCACCAACTTTTATTAAAATAAAACCATTTAAACTGGGTGTTCGGATTTATATGTCACTTAGTATATTTTCCCTACCTAGATCTGCAGTTTTACAACGGTAATTTCATTTATTATAAATCCTAATGAACCAATTGTAATCTGATAAAATACGGGTAAGAAAGCAAGTATCTTACTTGCTCTTAATGACGTTTTTTGAGGTGGTGGTATGTCTCGCTGCCCATTTTCATAGCCTCGCTGAAAGATGTAGCTCCAGTTGGTAGAATCATGAACTCCTGAAATATCGAGAATGTAGAGTATATCTTTGAGATTATCGAGTTAACTAAGCATCAAATTCAGTTAGCCTTTAGAATGTGACAGCTCCATTTCATGACATGTAAATATTGAATAAATTTGACCCCGACAAGGGTATTATGTAAAAAACCCGAAAAGAACCGCCAAAATGTCACCGTTCAAGGTACGTAAAACTCGTGCCGATGATATTTTTACTTCTCCGAACTGAAATGCGTGCGGAAAAGTGGCACTTTCCGCACGCTGCTGATGCTACGATCTGGAGTATTTCAACCTACTTGCATGGCTAGCTTGTTTCCAGCATGAGATCCTCCATTAATGACGTTGAAGGCTGGTACGGGGAGAATTAGGGTTGAATTGCCAGCTAGGTCTGCGATGTGTTTGTAGAGGGGCAGACCTCTTTTCGCGGCGCCTGCTTTACACACAACCAAGGATATACCCAAGATAGCGTTTGCACCAAATCGGGACATGTTCGGAGTACCTGAAGACGGAAGGGTGATTTTAAGTAGAAAAAATTGCGTCAAGTAGGTTGACTATGTATTTCCCAGGCAATGCTGATATCATATAGAATTATGTACGAGCCCATTCCCACTTCAGTTGGCCCACTTCAAGATTTGTACCAAAATAAATTAATAAAAACAATTGTCATGGCTTTTATTTTTCACAGCCACCTATGCGTTATAGACTTTTGCACTGACATGAAAATAGGTTGATATGCTGTAATTGCAACATGTGTTATTTTTATGCTGCAAATTTGAATAGGGAGTGATAAAGATGATGTTTTCTACTATATATTATCAAAATATTCATTGTTAATATTTTAAACCTATAACACTGCCACATTTTTATTATTTGTGTTTGATAAGAAAAAACTAAGATTTCAATAGTTGGGCCAACTGAAGTGGGAAGGGGCTCGTAAATTAGGTGCAAAAATGTTCGTAAAAAAAAACAAATCTGTAATGAAACGGTCTCACACGTATTTAGGTGTGAAATTGTATGAATATTCACCAAATAATTTAAAATATTTACGCAATATATTAGGCTTCAAAAACAACAAAAAAATAGAAATGGATTGACATGCTTTTTCTTTGAAAATTTCTTTTTTACTTTTTCACCACACATTAGCTCCGTTATTGCAAGTCTAGTTGTTTTTGAAAAGAAAAGTGCCAACTTTCAGACCACCCTGTATAAAGAGAAACTATTTTTAGAATCTCCATTCAATTCTTGTAGGTGATTCTGTTTTTATTATCGGACCTTAGCATGAACATTTCTGGAAAACTGTATAAACTTACCATCTAGTTCAATCATAAATTCATCGACCTCTCTTTGCTGCGTGACGTCAAATTCTTTTTTCAAAAGTTCAGGACCGATGATATCGTTTATATTCGATATTGCCTTGGATACCCCTTTTCCGTGGTATTCCGTAGGAATTCCATCCCTTAACTCGAGAGCCTCATGAATTCCTAGGTAAATGTGGCATTATGACATCAAGAATATGAAATTTCCATTTAGGTCCGGTTTTACAATCGCTGGTTAACTTTCAAGTCAGGTATACTTTATCTGAAGTCACTTGAAATAGCATAAAAACCTTTGGTCGGCGCGTCCTTTGTAATTTCATGACGTATCATAGGCGTGCGGTCATTTATTTAGAACGATAATAATAATAATGTTTTTATATCACAATAAATGGATTTTACTATCTTCTTATTTTTTGATTTGGGATAAAAAATACTTATATTGGGAGTTTAATTTATGTTGAATGAAAGTTAAGAAATGGAAAAATTACAGAATTCCAACGTTTGACAGGCAAATATTTACATAGCAGGTAGGTATATAAAAAGGTATATAAAGACTTACATTATAGGTATTTATATATCATCCTCGCCTTCGGAGCTGTCGCTAGAGTCATCTTGTAGAGGAATTACAACGGGATTTACAGGAGGCAAAACACAATATTCATTTTCTTTTTCAATAATATGCCTAGAACACTGCTTCCATAGGTCTGTGGCAGCAATATGAGATACTGCATCTCTTATTGTGGCCAATAGCGATTCACTTAATTGAGGGGTCTGATTATGTTTTCTTACTTTTTTTTTAAAGCAGCCCAGACCAACTCAATCGGGTTAAAAATGCAGTCATAGGGAGGTAGACGTAATACTTCATGGCCATTTTGCTGAAGCAGATTGTCAACAACATACTCTTTTTCAAATTTTTGTCTTTTAATAAGATCCAATAATATGGCTTTGGTTGATTTTTGTGGTATTTCCATTCCCTTATCCTTCATAAAATCAATAATGTCTTGTTTTTTTGTGCCTGTATTCGGAATTTTGTTTTTCTGTCGGGAATGGTATGGCGCATTGTCCATAATAATCACTGAATTTGGGGAAATGTTTGGTATTAACTGCTGCTCTATCCACTTTTCAAATGAGTCGGAGGTCATGTCCTCATGATAGTCGGCACATGATTCTTTGATATTTTTGGCAGATAACAGCAAGGCATTAGGTATAAATCCATTTTCACTGCCAGCATGGAGAATAATGATTCGTTTTCCACGGTTGCATGGTGCATTTAAAATGCACTTGTTGCTGTCGTCAACCCAGCCGTACTGCACAACATCATGGGTATCATACCACGTTTCATCCAGGTAAATCAGATTTCTTTTCTGCTCTCTATAGATTTTAACTTTGTGCAAAAATTCTTGGCGCAATTCAACGATTCGAGACGACTCCATAATCACCATTCTTTTATCTAATTTTTTGTATTGAAAACTACACAGTTTTACAATACAGTGCAGTGAGTCTAAGCATTTGTAATTATAAAAATCTTCAGGATAATCTTTTAATTTATCCCGTATCATTTCCAACGTGGTCACCAAATTTTCTTTATAAAATCCGTATATTATACGACGAATATCTTCCTGAAAACCCACGTCTATTCTTTTTAATTTTTGCCCTATGCGCTTTCTGTGGAAGGAATGGTTGACTACATCTCTCCTTTTTATAACCCGATAAATGGTAGACCGACTGATTTTTGTCAGGATACAAATTCTGTTTAAAATCTGATTTTGCGAGGAATCTGGATTTTCGTTTTTCAGACAATCATACATATTTAGGATTACTCTTTGGGTCCGTTCCTCTAAATCTTTATGAAAGAATTCTGCCTGCACAGGTTCATCAACCATCTCCTCGTGGCTTGGAGCATTTTCCCAAGGTCTCCAAAGAGCCATATTTAGGACACACAAGAACAATCAACACAACAATTAAATCAACAAGTAAACTGAGTATTCAAAAGTCAAAAACACACAAACTAATAAAATCTATGAAAAAACACGGACAGACTAAAGAAAACACGTTCATTCACTGCTACACGGCACTGGCTAAACTGTTTCAATTTTCAGTAGCCACCTGCACTTGTTCGGAGCTCTGAAATACACGCTTTCTCATTGGCTATGTCCACGCATAGGCGTGCTTTACTCCACGTGGACCGGTGAAACTGCCTTTGATCTTATATATTTGCTGCGAAATTTGGCGATTTTTGCAGCAACAGAGCGTGTTAAATATAGATATATAAAACGCATCCGGTATTTCACAGTGTTTCAAGTGACTTCAGATAAAGTATAACTGTGGCTTGGAAATTAACTATCAGTTGTCTGTAAATTCTTTTTTCAAGTTGTAGTTAACAATCAATAAACTGCCGATGCAGTAACGTTGCTTTTATGCCTGAATTATCGTGTTCTATGCATTTCGTGATGCTCTGTATTTGTGCCTAGTCCCATCCGTGACATCTTATGTCACTTTAAAGTACATTTTAGGTTAGATATTGCGGTTTAACCACAACTTTGCAGTTATCCCTTTCATGGTCCTCTCGCTGAAGTTGACTAGCACTTTAGGAGAAACTTGATAATAAGAAACTCTTTCTGAAAGTCAACTTCAGCTTAGCAGATGAGTTCCAGTTCACTTACGATTGAAAAACCGGACATTACTCGTAGAAACTTACTCAGAAATGTCGGTCCTTAGACTAAAATCAAAAAATATAAACTACCATGTAATATTAAGAATTGCTTTAAAATAAACTGAGCTTAAAAGACTATATAGGGTGTAGTAGGGAAAGGATTAAACTTCAATGTACATACTTGGCAACCTCAAAAACGATAATTTTCATCTTAGATTTTTAGGCATTAAATATCGCGTAATTCAAAAAACGGTCAAATTTAGAGAAAAGTCAATGAGGACTTCAAAATGATCTTAAAACTCTAATAGAAATTTGTCAGCAGCGTGAAATTTTTTTTAGAAATTTGTTGAAATAATTGTTCAAGCAATATTAGACTAAATTTTGGGCCTGGCAACATAGATTCATTGAAAGGGGTCCTCTTTGGACGAGATTATATAGAAAACTGAATCTGAATATATTTCTGAGTGGATGCGTCACTTGGAAGAAACCTGGCATTTTGATAAATAGATTTATTTAAACCAGTTAATCAACAAACATTTTTTCACGTCAACGGTGAGATTCAAACTTGACTGTCGTCGTAACGTGTACAAGAGAGAAACGCGATAAGCATGTGATATACAGGGTGTTTCAGTTTATTGTTGCATAACTTTAAGATTCGATAGAACTTTTAAAATTAATGCTTAAAGTCTATATAAACATGGGTCGAAAAATGCGTGGCTTCCGAAATACAGGGTGTTTAAATTTACTTTCTAAAATGGTTTTTTTTAAATATTTCGAACAATATTTGATGTGTAACAGTGAAAATTGGTATACAAGGGTTTTTTGGTACGACAAAACGAACCATGGGCATAGTTTTACTGTAGCCGCAAGAGGGCGCTCTCTACTATACCTGTAGTGTATTAAAATGACCGAAAAATTTTCTTAGTGCAATTGTTTGCTTTTTGAATAAAAAACTGATTCTTCGCACTTTCGCGTATTCGGAAGCCACGCATTTTTCGACCCATGTTTATATAGACTTTATGCATTAATTTTAAAAGTTCTATCGAATCTTAAAGTTATGCAACAATAAACTGAAACACCCTGTATATGCTAGTCTGCAAAAAGACATTTCGCCGGTTTTTTCTGGCGTTTTTTAGGTTTTTTACATAGTACCCCTGCGGATTACCGCTAGCACGCTTTTTGTTCCTCAAGGTACAGTACTGTGTTTTGGAAGCATTAGACTGTACAAGATTGTTGTCTCCAAGCAGCGAAAATCTCCACTCCTCTCGCTAGAGAGGTAGTCGCTGCTAGTCTTTTTTTTCTAGCTCACCGGTGGAGATAGGTTCTGAATAGCTGCATGTAGAGTGCTGTCACCAGCAACGCTGTGGATTGCATTGATCCTACATAAAACCGGGTCGTTGGTATCGTCTACATATTGCACTCTTAATATACAAATATTTTTTTGAAGAGTAATATAAACTGAATCTATACCTGTGCTGGCTCCAGAGGGCACAGCGGCCCTGAATAATCCAAGATCTGTAATCAAATCTACCTCAACCGTCGGATTTCCTCTCGAATCGAATATCATCCTGGCAAAGATATGTTTCATGCACTTCTTATTTGCCATGTTGAATCCACGAAAATGTTTTCGAAAAGATCAGGAACGAAAAAATACTGATGCTGACGGTGATTTGTAAAGTACGCGAATTTGTGATTGTCAATAAATTGACAAAATGCGTCATGTGCTATTTTCGAGAAGTATCCAGTGTAGGTTCATAGTCATGAAGACAAGATATAGCAGGTTGAACTGCACAAGAGAATAATAGATAAATAAATATCCGTTATTATATGAAGAATACAATACATTCACTCTTGATAAAAAAGCTAACTTAAATCTAAACTACTCGTATAACATAATTATTATTATTATTATTATTATTATTATGATATTTGAGATGAGCAGAGTACACAGTACTATAAGCTCATGCAGTAAATATAGTGTACGGACACGTAACACAAATACATCAAATAGAAAAAAATAAAAAAAGACAGTTCATAGCTACAAAGTTTGTACACTCCTCCAGCTATCATACTGCACTTTGAAGCTATTAACTGAAGTAGCACCAACCACACTTTCAGGTAAACTATTCCAGGTGTTGAATATGCGGTTGGGAAGAAACCACTGTCGGATTGTTGTTTTAAATGGCTCCTTATGCAGTTTGAAGCTGTGTCCGCGTAGATTGCTGCGCGACAGACGGTATAGATGCATGAGGTTGGTGCCCATCAAACCATGAAGTATCTTGAACGTAACTATAAGATCGCCACGAAGTCTTCGCTCAGAGAATGAGGTCAGGTTGAATAATTCAAGGCGATCTTCATAGCTTGGTCTTCGTGCTCCAAAAGGGATACAAATAGCCCGACGCTGTACTGATTCGACGAGATTTCTATCGCGCAGAAGCACAGTGTCCCATACCGGGCCAGCGAATTCAAGAATTGGCCTCACGAATGCCTTGTAAATGTAGGCGCAAGTGTTGACATCGGATCCTTTGAAAAACCTCTCCAGCATGTATAGAAGTTTCTTGGCTTTTGATGTAACGTGGTGAATATGCTCTGATCAGGAAAGACGATCGTTGACTACAACACCCAGATCAGTGTGGCTGGAAACTGCTTCGATGTTGTGGTCAGAGATCTTGTATGTAAATCGCGGATTTGTCTTCTCGAGGTGAAGGACACAACACTTAGTTAGATTTAAGGGTAAAAGCCAACTGACTGACCATTGACAAACAATATCAAGATCTCGTTGAAGCATAGCAGAATTTACCACAGTATTGTAAATCTTGGTGTCGTCGGCATAAGCTGAACATGTGGAGGAAATCAATGCGGGCAGGTCACTTGTATACAGAAGGAACAGCACTGGCCCCAAGACAGAGCCTTGAAGAACTCCACTTGCTACATGATGAAGGTGAGACTGGCTATCACTGACGCGCACAGAGAAAGTCCTCCCGGTGAGAAAAGCCTTAATCCACACTAACAACTCGCCCCTTATTCCCATACATTCCAACTTAAAGAGAAGCCTTCTATGTGGTACGCGATCGAAAGCCCTAGAAAAATCTAAGTAGATTATATCAACAGGAGTCTTTGTGTCCAGATACTGAGTCCAATCGTTGAGAGAGTGGAGAAGGTTGGTCATTATTGATCGACCAGGGAGAAATCCATGCTGATTCTTAGGGATAAGGTCATTTTCGAAAGCAAATGACAGGAGCTTATCTAATATGATTCTTTCAGCTATTTTGGCGGCGACAGGAACGAGACTTATTGGTCGATAATTTTTAGCGGAGGATTTGTCGCCCTTTTTGAATACAGGGGTAACAGAAGCACTAAGCCAGCATGAGGGTAGGGTATGAGATCTAAAAGACGATGTGAATATCAAGCTTAATGGTAGGGCCAGTGCTGAAGCGCAGTTTTTAAGTACAGCAGCCGTCATCCCATCTTTACCAGGGGAGGAAGAGGTCTTCAGATTTCGCAGGTGCATTAATACATCTTCAGGCAGGAACTCAACTTCGTAAAGGCTGTTGGGACACCTATGGCAGATAGTGGTCGGTAGAAGGTCTCCATTAGGCTCATCGACGAAGTCATCACTAAAGGACTCTGCCAGTAAGTTGGCAGATTCGGTGGCATCCATGTGGAGATGACCGTCAGCGTCGCGGATCTGAGGTGATGAAACTTTGGAATTCAGGTTTGTTCTTAACTACCGAAACAGCTTCTTCTTATTTTTGGAGGTAACGAGTTTTCGTTCATAAGCATGTTTGGCATTATGTAACGTTCTAGATAGGAGGTTAGAAAAGGATCGATGAGACACGTAATCTTGTGAATGGCCACTCCTCCTAAACCGTTGCCACAAAGATCTCTTGTGACGAAGCATTCTCGATATGTTAGAGTTGATCCAGGGCTTTCAGGGGTCACAGTATACCTTCTTTTTAACAGTATTGTCAGCCGTTTCGCTTAGGACTCGTTGAGCGAAAGTGTCCCACATATCTTGAGTGCTATGGTTGTTAAGCAAAGCAGGCCAGTTGACTTCAGACAGGGCTAGGTTAAGAGCATCGTGGTTTACAATTTTGATGGTTTTAAACTTATCGGTTGTAGAACGACTATTTATATTGAACTGGAGAGAAGATAAAAGTAAACAGTGGTCAGACTTGCCAAAAGGTGGCAAATAATCTAAATTAGAAACAAAGTTGGCGTCGTTAACGAATATCAAATCCAGAGCCCTAGGCGTCTGTCCTTCCCTGAATCTCGTTGGACGATCAACAAGTTGAGATATGCTAGAGTTGCGTAGCAAGTCGATGTAAGCAGCAGAAGAAGAATTGCATTCAGGAATGGTTGACATAGGCCAGCTAATGTCACGTAGATTGAAGTCACCAGCTATGAAAGGGTTGGTGTTTTTATTTAAGAAATCTGAAATGAGACTGCACAGGTGTGTGTCTCCCAAACAGGGCCGTGGCCGATATATGCAGCCTATCGTGAAGCTGAAATTTGGGCACCTCAATTCCAAAAATAGATTGTCAATGCCATCGAAAGGACTGAAAGAGGGAGATACAAATTATGTAAATTTCCACACCAGGATAAATGACGAAGAATGAGACTTGTACAAGTGTTGATTTAGCTACTAATAAAATTGAAGACCTCAGAGCACAATATCAGGTAAGGTAAAAGTTTTATCAAAAATTGCTTGTTCGAATATTCTAAGTATTTATAAGATCATTACGGATCGTTTTTCGCGATGATCATGCAAGTTCAATGCATCTAATGTGAAATAGCATAGGATTTTAATTGCCTGGTCAAGTATTGTTAGCATAAATCAGGCAAATTACCCCCAAAAAAGACACGAAATGCATACGCTGCCCTGAAAAATGACCATATCCATATTCTCGATGCATGGAAAGAACTGGTACGTGCAACTTCAAAAGTTTCAAGTTGTAAACGTCAATCAGAACGTGATTATGAATTTTGCAACACATCTTAAAGCTTACTTAAATCTGCTTTTGTTAGCATTGCTTAGCATTTCAACATACCGATTATTCCAGTATCAAAAAGGATTCAAATATGTGGAATGAAGTACTGCAACGTCCATCGTAGTTTTTACAAGGTTTTATATTGAAAAAGAAAATGTGGTATTGTGCTTTCCAAGTTGACATACGATACAACACCGTCCTTTGCCGCTTAATGAAAAAAAGGCTGTCGACGTTAAACTTTTATCAGCAAAATATACTAAGTGACATATAAATCCCAACACCCAGTTTAAATGGTTTTATTTTAATAAAAGATGGTGAATGTATTTATCTTACTGTAAATAACAAGTGAAAAAATGTTCAGCCTTATCAGTTGGACATTCCGGTTTTTATACTGCTTTTTTTTAATTCACTAACGCTCTAAAAATGAATATTTCAGCCGCAGTAAAGAATCAACGTTGGCGGATTTTTACGATCGGTTACGATGCCTAGAGTACGGAGACCTGTACGATTTCGTCAACTTAGTGAGTTTGATAGGGGCCGTATAGTGGGACTTCGGGAAGCTGGACTTTCTTTTCGGGCAATTGCAGTTAGAGTGCAAAGAAGTGTAGACACTGTGGTTAGGTGTTGTCAGGCATGGCTTCGAGAAGGCCGTACGCAAAGAGCAAGGAGCACTGGACGCCGCCGTAGAACAACAGACCGTGAAGATCGCCGCCTAAGATTATTGGCCTTAAGGGACCGTTTCTCCACTACCAGGTCGATTGCAAATGAATGGTTTGCAGAACACGGAAGACCTATTGGCATGCGAAGTGTTTACCGACGAATGAGAAGTTTTGGCTTGTTTTCATACCGGCCACACTGGGTCCTCCCTTTATCTCGAGAACACCGACGTAATCGCCTTGAGTGGTGCAGACAACGGTCACTCTGGGATCAGGAATGGAACAGTATTGTCTTTAGTGACGAGTCTGGATTTTGTTTAGGCATGCACGATGGTCGTGCCAGGGTTAGAAGGCGACGTGGTGAAAGGAGGAATCCACAGTTTTTGTTGAAAGACATGTTCATCACACTGTTGGAGTTATGGTTTGGGGTGCTATAGCTTATGGTTCCAGGTCACCTTTAATCTTCATCAGAGGTAACATGAACGCGCAGCGTTATATCCACGAAGTTCTAGAACCCCATCTTTTACCCTATCTTGACACCCTGGCAGATCTAACTTTCCAACAAGATAATGCCCGGTCACATGTTGCAAGAGTCACAATAGACTTCTTTCAACATAATGATGTCACATTGTTACCATGGCCACCAAGATCTCCCGACTTATCCCCAATTGAGCACGTGTGGGATATGATGGGTAGGAGATTGCTCAATTTGCAACGTCCTCCTCAGACTCTAGAAGCACTTCGAGAGGAGTTGGTGGTTGCCTGGAGTGAAATACCACAGGAGGACATTGACCACCTTATCAGAAGCATGCCTAGGCGCGATGGAGAATGCGTAGCACATCAGGGTGCATCCACACATTATTAAAGGTCAAGGGGCTTTAAAGCAGTGCAATCATTTTGAAATTTTTATCATTTACTTATTATGCTTCATTAAGTACTTATACAAAATTTTATTAAAATAAAACCATTTAGACTGGGTGTTCGGATTTATATGTCACTTAGTATACGTACCGGCCGTCGACCTATGGTACTATAGAAAATTCTTCGGAGAATCCGAAAATATCGAAGTTCCACAAGAAGTAGCTGGTACAGGTGATGATGCTTATGACTCCGATTTATCATTTATGTAATAATTAAAGATTTATTTTTGTTACCCCTTTTTTAAGTTGTTTTGGTCTTGTTCTCTCTGACTATTAATACTGTTTGAACTAATTTTTCCATTATCCAAATTTTTAACAAAAATCAAAAGTTTGGGTTCGAGTGTTTATGTTATTTCATATTAAGTAGTTTCTCCATGTCCTAAAATAATATGGTTTTCTTTTCCATATTTTTTAAAACAAAATATTCAGTTTATTTTTCTAAAACTTCCTATAATGTGACTTACCTGGCTTTTGCACCTAGATCTTCAATTTAAGATCTTGTTTTCGTCTAATACCGTAATTTTTATTTGGTGTCTGAAATTCAGATTTATTTTTAAAAATAAGAGATGCTGATTCAAATACAGTAGAACTCCAATTTTCCGAATTAATGGGGACCGGGACCCATTCGGATAATCAAATATTCGGATAATCGGATTTTTTTTTTAAAAATTGCCATTGGAGAGAAAAATGCTACGTTTTGATATTGCACTATTTTTTTTATTGAATTAAATGAAAGAAACATGATATTTTCACATGTTTTAAATATAAATACATACATAAAATACATAAAATGTATGTACGTACATACATATGTACAAGTTTAGAAATAAAAATCATTGTTTTTTAAACATCTCCGTCAATGTAAGCTGTTTTGCGTTCTTCATCCGTTTTCGGGCAGCCAGGTCACGCATTCGCTTGACGGTGAGCAGTTGCAAGTGGTCACACTCGGGCTGACGCTCCATCCACTTCAAAGCAGTCTCGAGGCCGGCAAATGCTTCACTAGCTGATGGTCCAGCGTCTACTTCAACATCAGCAGAAAGTTCTTCTCCCACTTCCACTTCAACATCTTCTCTCACACTTTCAACAATTTCATCGTCATTGAGAATTTGAAAACCAGGGTCAGACGTGTCACAAGCCATCCACTCTCCTACATCTTCAGCACTTACTTCTGTACAACCAGGAATTTTTACAATCATTTTTCTTATTTCCTCTAGTGACAACGCATCTTCATCATCTTCATCCTCTCCATTTTCTTGTTTCTCATTTTCTTCAGATTCTTTTTTTTTGTTCTTCTCAGACGGTAGGCCTTTCAGTTTATTCCACGCACGTCTTAGCGTCACTGCCGTAACCAAACTCCAAGCTTCCGCTACCATGTAACAGCAGTCCTTTAAATTTATTTTGCTATGATTTGCCAAAACCAATTCTTCATCTTCAGCACCTTCGATCAGCAGTTTTCTCAGCAGTTGCCTTCTGTAATGGCGCTTCATTGTTTCAATAACAGACTGGTCCATGGGTTGCAGCAAACTTGTAACATTGGGAGGCAAAAACGTCGTTTTAAACTGCCCTTTCTCTCTTTCCAACAGTTCTGCTGTAGGATGAGTGGGTGCGTTATCAACAATTAAAAGCACCTTACTGCCTTCTTTTCCCACCGATTTTTGGTGCTTTTTCACTTCAGGAATAAACACTTCATCATACCATTCGGTAAACAAAGCTGCAGTCATCCAGGCCTTGGGTTGACTTTTGTAGAAGAGTGGAAGTTTTTTTACGTTTTTAAATGCTCTTGGATTTTTTGATTGTCCTATCAAAAGAAGTGGTAGTTTATGATTTCCAGTGGAGTTGGCACAGTTAAGCACTGTAACACGTTCTTTACTGACCTTATGTCCAGGGGCACTAGATTCCCTTTTAGAAGCCAAAGTGGTTTTTGGTAATGCTTTCCAAACAAGGCCAGTTTCATCGGCATTATAAACAAACTCCGGATCATAGGATTCTGCTGCAGTTTTAAATTTTTCAATAAAATTTTCAGCAGCTGCAGAGTCTGCTGAAAGCTTCTCACCAGCCAAATCTAACTCGCGTACACCATGCCTGAATTTAAAGTTCCTTAGCCAGCCGTTACTAGCCTTAAAAGATGAATAACCAAGCTTTTCTGCTAAGATTTTGGCTTTTTCACAAAGGATTGGACCTGAAATCGGATTTCCCATAGAACGTTGCTGCAAAAACCATTTAAACACGGCATCTTCCAAATTTTTGTTGGTTGCTGTCTTCATTGTTTTCCTGGAGGAACTTCCATCTTCATTTTCAAGCACCGAAACAAAGTTTAAAAGTGTTGACTTACTGTTTTTAATGTCACAAATTGTTGCTTGTCCAACACCATAAATCTCAGACAACTTCTTACCCGTTACACCTTTATCGAGTTGCTCTATAATTTTCAGTTTGTCCGCTAACGATAGCACAACACGTTTTCTTTTCGAAGCCATGGTGAAAAACAATACAGTACAATAGTATTGTAAGCCGTAGCGAAAGAGTAGCGTCCTCGAGCAAGGTCAATAGCACACTGACTATATTGGTGCGCCGTGACTGCAATGTGCCGGAACTGGAGTGGGGACTCATACCACGTGTTGTTGTGCCTACACTGACGCCGCGGACTTTGGACAAATTTAAAGTGATTCGGATAATCGGCGATTCAGATAGTCGGAGTTCGGATAATTGGAGTTCTACTGTATAGACAATGATACGACAATCATTATTTTATGATTTAAAAATAAATGCCTGCATGTAGCTCTAGCATTGCTTTTAGTTATATCCGGCTATCTATATCTGATAGTTCGTTTTTGTAGAATAAGCACCTTGCCAGACAATTTCGGGAACGTACATACCAAAAGGCAATACTTTTCCTTACGTTGTAGCTAACGTTCTTATAGTAAAGGAAATCATTGCTCGCCAGTCCTAAACATTTGATGGCGTCTGTTTTGAGTATCAAACCATTATTTAAATTTATAAAACCAAGGGAGCATTTAAATGTCATAAATTTAGCCTCAGTAATAGTGAAAGTTAAGTTATTATTATGATTAATAAAAATGAGAGTACTTTAAATGCTGTTCACATAGCCTCTATCAAACCTATTTAAACTGAATTGAATTCCAGGGGTGTAAGCAGTTAGTTGATCCCAAATTCGGATTCAGCGTACAAAAATACATGGGAATAACATGCCCTAGCGTCTGGCATCCAAAACTCGATTGTTACTCCTCCTAGGAATAGTAACTTCAGGAGGAGGAGGATCTTCTCGATCACAAATTCAGATTCAGCATCGAAAAATATATAGGATTAGCAAGCTCTAGCATCTGGCATCCGAAACTCAATTTACACGTCTACAGGGGTAATTTTTGGGTCTGCGGGTCAATTCTATACATCTGGCAGCTTTTCTGATTTCGAGTTCGGATTCAGCGTCGAAAAATACATGGAAATATGATCACGGATTTTAACCCTTATTAGTAGTAGTAGAAAGATTTATTCAGCACATTTGGCTACATAAACAGAATAATTGCAAACAACTTAGAACTAGTAAATTCAAGCCATATGGTGTATGATGTAAATGCTGGGCAACCTATAATTGTAGATTTAACAAGTGATTTCTCTTGAGTTGTGCTTCACTGTCTATCCATCGCTGATTCCTCGAAGTTTGTTTCCACAGTAGTCCCTCATTTTTAAGGTAGTGTTTAATCTCCGATAGTAGTGATAGACATTAATTATGGTGCGACTGGGCTAGTTGAAAATCGGTGGAGTGATGACAGAAACATAAGCAAAATCCTGTGATAATAATTTTTTTGGCGGGTAGGTCAAAATGTTTTTGTAGGGGTAAAGATAAAAAAAAACGAGGAATAAGACATAAATAAAATTTGCCAATTATTTTATTTCAATAATAAATACAACTCTTATAAGTAATTCCATCAGTCTCTTATAAAACATAGATACAACTAAGGTAGGTGCTTTTCACATATGGTAATCTTTAGGATGATTGTCGTGTCTTCAGCAGATCAGTTTACTTTTTTTTTTGAATCATTTTCGCCTCAAAAATAGTGAAGGTTTAATACTACCACTTACTATATTTTGGCTTAACACGGCGGATAAGAAGTTAAGTAAAATCTATTATAAAAAACGTAACATCTGCGAAAATTCACTGTGGCTTATCCACAGAAAGTTTGAGTTGTGCTTCACTGTCTATCCATCGCTGATTCCTCGAAGTTCGTTTCCAGAGTAGTCCCTCATTTTTAAGGTAGTCTTCAATCTCCGATCGTAGTGATAGACAGTAAATATTGTGCGACTGGGCTAGTTGAAAATCAGTGGAGTGATGGCAGAAACATAAGCAAAATCCTCTGATGATAATTTTTTTGGCGGGTAGGTCAAAATGTTTCTGTAGGGGTAAAGATAAAAAAACGAGGAATAAGACACATAAATAAAATTTGTCAATTATTTTATTTCAATAATAAATACAACTCTTGTAAATAATTCCATCAGTCTTTTATAAAACATAGATACAACTAAGGTAGGTACTTTTCACATATGGTAATCTTTAGGATGATTGTCGTGTCTTCAGCAGATCAGTTTACTTTTTTTTGAATCATTTTCGCCTCAAAAATCATGAAGGGTTAATACTACCACTTACTATCTTTTGGCTTAACACGGCGGATATGAAGTTAAGTAAAATCTATTATAAAAAACGTAACATCTGCGAAACTTCACTGTGGCTTATCCACAGAAAGTTTTAGTTGTGCTTCACTGTCTATCCACCGCTGTCTCCTCGAAGTTCGTTTCCACAGTAGTCCCTCATTTTTAAAGTAGTCTTCAATCCCAGATAGTAATGATAGACAGTAATTATGGTGCGACTGGGCTAGTTGAAAATCGGTGGAATGATGACAGAAACATAAGCAAAATCCTGTGATAATAATTTTTTTGGCGGGTAGGTCAAAATGTTTTTGTAGGGGTAAAGTTAAAAAAAACGAGGAATAAGACTCATAAATAAAATTTGTCAATTATTTTATTTCGATAATAAATACAAATCTTATAAGTAATTCCATCAGTCTCTTATAAAACATAGATACAACTAAGGTAGGTACTTTTCACATATGGTAATCTTTAGGATGATTGTCGTGTCTTCAGCAGATCAGTTTACTTTTTTTTGAATCATTTTCGCCTCAAAATCGAATTTGGAATCTACGCATCCGATTTACCCAGAAAATAAGTTTCCATCTCGATCATAGACGCGCAAGTGTTTTTAGAAATTGTTTATTAGTCGTTTTTTGACAAAGCTGAATTCTTGCCAGTATCTTGAAAACGAGGCATTTTCGGACGGAACGGGCCATGGATTCGGTTTCAGCGACCCAAAAAGCGTATTATAAGATATGTTGCGTTCACGTTCCCGACTGACCCATTTTGTGACTATTTGGTAAGAATAATGGTAATTATATGTTAAAATGCTTTAAATGCAATGTTATCCATCGCTGTTTCCTTGAAGTGCGTTTCCACAGTAGTGCCTCATTTTTAAAGTAGTCATCAATCTCCGATAGTAGTGATGGACAGTAATTATGGTGCGACTGGGCTAGTTGAAAATCGGTGGAGTGATGGCGGAAACATAAGCAAAATCCTCTGATAATAATTTTGTTGGCGGGTAGATCAACATGTTTTTGTAGGGGTAAAGATAAAAAAATGAGTAATAAGACACATAAATAACATTTGTCAATTATTTTATTTCAATTATAAATACAACTCTTATAAATAATTCCATCAGTCTCTTATAAAACATAGATACAACTAAGGTATGTACTTTTCACATATGGTAATGTTTAGGATGATTGTCGTGTCTTCAGCAGATCAGTTTACTTTTTTCTGAATCATTTTCGCCTCAAAATCGAATTTGGAATCTACGCATCCGATTTACCCAGAAAACAAGTCTCCATCTCGATCATAGACGCACAAGGGTTTTTAGGAATTTTTTATTAGTCGTTTTTTGACGAAGCTGAATTCTTGCCAGTATCTTGAAAACGAGACATTTTCGGACGGAACGGGCCATGGATTCGGTTTCAGCGACCCAAAAAGCGTATTATAAGATATGTTGCGTTCACTTTCCCGACTGACCCATTTTGTGACTATTTGGTAAGAATAATGGTAATTATATGTTAAAATGCTTTAAATGCAATGTTATCCATCGCTGTTTCCTTGAAGTCCGTTTCCACAGTAGTCCCTCATTTTTAAAGCAGTCATCAATCTCCGATCGTAGTGATAGACAGTAATTATGGTGCGACTGGGCTAGTTGAAAATCGGTTTAGAGATGACAGAAACATAAGCAAAATCCTCTGATAATAATTTTTTGGCGGGTAGGTCAAAATGTTTTTGTAGGGGTAAAGTTAAAAAAAACGAGGAATAAGACACATAAATAAAATTTGTCAATTATTTTATTTCAATAATAAATACAACTCTTATAAATAATTCCATCAGTCTCTTATAAAACATAGATACAACTAAGGTAGGTACTTTTCACATATGGTAATCTTTAGGACGATTGTCGTGTCTTCAGCAGATCAGTTTACTTCTTTTTGAATCATTTTCGCCTCAAAAATAGTGAAGGTTCAATACTACCACTTACTATCTTTTGGCTGAACATGGCGGATATGAAGTTAAGTAAAATCTATTATAAAAAACGTAACATCTGCGAAACTTCACTGTGGCTTATCCACAGAAAGTTTGAGTTGTGCTTCACTGTCTATCCATCTCTGTTTCCTCGAAGTTCGTTTCCATAGTAGCCCCTCATTTTTAAAGTAGTCTTCAATCTCCGATAGTGTGAGAGCCTTAGTTTCAGGCAAGGTGAGCCAGAGGAAGATACAGGCGATGAAGGAAACTCCACCGAAAATCCAGAATACTCCAGATACTCCAATGGATGCTTTCGTTAGAGGGAAAACTTTGGCGACGCCGAAGAGTAGCAGGTTGAAGATCATGAAGGTCAGGCCGCCTGCCAAACCACGAACCTGTCAAAATGATTGGTAAGA